AGACGCAATCACACGGCTCTCAGCCCGAACAATTTATCATCCACTGCGTCGTCACGTCCCTCGTCACCTAACTGTCTTTGCTGACTCTCTCTCATCGCTTTAAATTCCAGGAGTTTCTGACGCCTCTGCCCTTCTGCCGAATCCATCGCCATGCCAGATCCCCTGCACAGGAATCTCCCTCGCAGCCCGGCCCTAGTCCCTCCGTCTCTTCACTTCTCTCCTCCGCTGCATCCTACATGAAAATGGGCTTCTTACACGCATAAGCAATTACTAACCACCACACACCTCAATGCAGCCCAGACATTGCCTTCCTTCCGACCTGTCTACTATCCGACTACTTCCAACCTCCACCTCAAAGCATTCCAAACGCAAGCGCTCGTCATAAAGTTAATAGCTCGTCTGACACTTCTAACACGCACTCGATTCTCCCTGTAAAGTCCCTACAGATCCATGACGCATTACACTCGCCTCCGCTCTCTGGAAAGAGATCTCAACGACCTATTTCCTTACTCCCCGATAACCTCCCCGAATTCCTCCAACTGTTTCAGAAGCCCAACTCAATTCCGTACCAGCGGCTTGTACCTTCTCCCCATCCTCTACACAGCCACTCCTCTCGGATAGGCGCCGCCACCGAGCCGGCGTCCCTGGGGCTCCCCCATTCCGCCCTCCAGCAGCTGTGGACCGCTGGTCCCATCGGCCCTCTCGCTCATACATCAGGCCTGACACTTCGACCATCTCTGCAGCCCAGCGCCTCTTGGGCATCTCCATAAACACACTTGCAAAACATCCAGGTGGCGGCAGCAGCTGAGTCTCCGCAAGTTTTGGTCACAGAATTATAGCGTCACAGTATATTGTGATAGCGTCACAGTATATAGCGATAGCGGCACAGTATATAGCGATAGCTGTCACAGTATATAGCGATAGGCGGTCACAAAAGACATAGAGCAGTCTCGAACGTTCTTGTAGCCCCATCCAAACCAGCTGCAAAACTCCATCAACTCACACAATAGCCTTTTGGATTGGCGCGCTCCTCACAGGAGCCTCTCCGATCTGAAAGGCTCACCGGGGCCTAGGGCGCCAAACCTCCCAATAAATACTCAAAAGGCTTCTTGTTTTCTCCGTCTCTCTCCAAATTGAAATGCAGCCCGCGGAAATTCATTTTGGTAGACATGTAAAGTGTTACCGAATTTTGTTTATAGCTTTTTTCGTTCCCCTGTAATCCTCCGTTGAGTAGGGGAATTTTACTGAAATCACCAGAAAATCACCAGAAAAGAGTTGAAAAAGAGGCACAAACAGTGCACCTAACTGTTTTCAACCATTTCAGACGAGCAACTGCTGCCACCTGCTGGCTCGATAAAATATGGTCTCAAGTCATCCCTTGCGATTACATAGTCGATACAATAGACTCTGGGAACGTGAAAATACGAAAAGGCATTTGACGGATTATGCGTTAATGGCACACGACGTTTGGAATCTGCCCAAGCAGGTTTTCTAAGAGAGCTTCCGATCACCGCCTCTCCATCAGCCCACAGGGAAAAGTCAACAAATAATGAGCCACAAATAGGTAATACTTAAGCCATTAATCTACCAACCTTTCTTGTCATAGCGACCCCGCTATGTAGATTTTGCCGGTTCTTGCGCGCAGAGAGGCTCATAACCACAGGCCTTCTCTCAGTTTGATGACACTGCGAACGTTCGAGCCTGGCAGTCATCCTTTATGAATGCAACAGGAAATAGGATTCATATAGCGAGGAATTAGACCTCTAGTCAAGTGGCTCGGTAAAGAGTCCTCTGAGCATGTTAAAAGAATCAGATCAGTCCTTTTGCACCCACCCTCAAGCTGCGCTCACAAGGGAACGCTCGTGGGAAAGGCTCAATGAATGCTATGCCACACCAGGAATTGTCGAAAATGTATATTCAATATTAAAAAAATGGATAACTTCCCACTCCTGCAAATAAGGACAATTTAAAATCAGAGAGCTAGCGATTACCTTTTAGAGTTGCATGTTGCCCAAGAAGAAGTTAACTCCCTGGTCTGGCATATTATCGACAATCCCGTGGTGTCACACATTGTGGAAAAGCTTCCCCCTAGGTCTACAAAATGAATGGGTCCACGAGGTTCAAACTACAATGCGAACAAAGACATGTGCATTCCCTCTCACGTACTTTGTACTTTTGTGCGGGAGGAGGCACAAGGCAATGAACGATCCAGTTTTATTATGAGCGGACAGCCAAACCTTCAATCAAAGTGAGAACACCATTCAAACAAACCAACTACAATCCCTATCACTGTAAATCGGACAGAAGGTTAAATCCTCCTCTTATGGCTGCGGAGAACGGATTTAGCCCGCTATTGCTATTTCACAAGGCCACACATCCTAGCAAATGCGACCTTCCAAAACAAACACTGCAAGGAGGCGCAAAATTCTCAGAGAAACAAGGCGATGTTCCGTTGCTGTCTCCACCCACATGTAAAGGGACTGTGTGTAGTACTCATGTGTTGAGGAGTGTCAAAGTGAACAATCTTGTTCAGCCGCGCATATTAAACCAGCGCTTCAGCCACAACTACCCTGACCCAGAAGATCCGTCCAAAACACCACCACCAGAGGTAAATCGCGGTTCACTGAGATCTGTGATGAGGAAGTTTTCCAGTTCTTGTTCCACGGTTATGACTTGTCCAGCTTTCCCTAAGGCCCAACACGAGGCTCTGTCAAGATGTATGCATCCTTGGACGATCGAGTAATAGCTCATTGGCTCGTCCTGAATTCTTTGAGCGTTTGGGTTAAACAAGTAGCCTCTGACATACAGCATGAGGAACGTGCGATGGAGTGACTAAAATGATCGGAAGAAACGCAACAAATTCCAGATTGAGTCAATAGATGGAAGCTTACTTCTCGATAGTCCCTCCACTGTGTAGAATGTAAACAAAATAGTCACTATCAAAATGAGCTACCACCCCCGCGATGCTCTTACTTATACTCACTTACAGCATCTGGCCACTCATTCCTGAAGTATGAAGATGTTCAGATCACTTCTTATTGGGTAGAGACATCTAAGGGTCCAAAGCACGAGAACAAGTCAAGACGACAAAGCTCCCTTCGCCAACGCCTTGATCACGGCTGGGTAATCGTTGGCGAAAGTGTGTCCAGTAACAACTAAATTACCGTCAACGACTTTTTAGAAAGCCCATCTGCTATCTAATGGACATTCAACTCTCCCAATCCTTGTCATAGCAGGTCGACTCAAAGGGTCAATTGTGTTCCGGCGGGGAGCAAGAAATGGACTTCAACGCATTCAAAACAAGCAGAGAGATAACTTGGAGCAGAAGAATAAACGTGCCACATTCTCTGAGGACAAACTTTTCCAAACTGATAAAGACAATATTTGCATCCTGAAGAAAGTAAATCTTATCACAACGCTGACCCTGTCCTCCACAAATCTGTCCCAACCAGCAGAAACCCAGCAATGCACGCTTTTACACCTTACCTGGAGTCCAAATATCTGAACAGCAAATTTATACAAACCATGAAACCAGAAAACTGGCGAAAGGTTTAAATAGCTCTTCTGCTCAAATCATAGAAAGCGGCCGCTCATCTTCATGGTTTCCATTGTACTCATACAGAACCTCTAGTTCTCCAACGCTGAATGCACGGCATCGGTCTGCTCCACTCAAATAGAAGATTATTTCCAGCGGAAACACCTAATCCAGAGAAGCGCAATCATCGACATTTCAATTGAAACTCGACGTTCCGATCAAAGCAAGTACTTTGGCAATACTTTGGTACTCAAACACACAATTTCCAAAAAGAATACATGTGTTACGAAAAAGACTCGATACAGATAGTACAAGGTGAACAGGACTGTCCAATAGGCAAGTGTGAGGACATCGCCCTGTCTCAGTGACTCTGCATTTAATTTCTTGTAGGTTACGTTGAAAAGGAACTCCAGCTGAAAGTAGTGGCATTAATATGCCAGGGAGGGGAGTGTTCTGCCTCGTTTTTTAGTGGCAGATGAAACAACTTATTTTAATTGTGTTGTACATTTGATTTACTTGGAATGAGTTCTAATTAATTAACTTTAACACGTTTACTTATTGTTGGTGGCTATGCAGTTTTTGTTCATTTGGTTGCTCATGCCTGGTTTCTAGGACAGAAGGCTCTCACATGTAAACATGCTTGTTAAAGTTAGTAACCGTAACAGTCTGATGAAGTTTACCTACTGTCTCCACTTGTGTCTCAATTTTCTAAATTACGAATGCAATAACTAAGTTTTACAAGTGTGTTGGTTATTTGTTTATTTTGTCAATCAAAGCTAAATGTAAATTATTTCTGTTTTATTTCATAGTTTCACTCGAGACTTTTTTACGATAACCTGTTACAAGTCCTGTATTAAAGTATCAAAACTGGCTCGTGGAAGACGAGTTTGGCTGCTGTTGTTACGTTAACTGACTCCATGTTTTTTTTCTACAACACGTATTGAGACTGTTATACGAGGCATTACTTTGCGATGCAAGACTACCGATGTACATACAGGAAGAGCGGCTGAATAGGATGACGTTACTTACTACTCATGGTTATCAGGGTTTTTTTTTTTGACTTAAAATGTTGCAGAAAGCATTTCGTTCCTTTGATGCGCATTAAGTGCCTTTTTCTTCATTAGTTTTTGACTGAGAAAAAGGCCAATATGTTCAATTTCTTCAATAAAGGAAACAAATGTGACAGAAAACCTATGTTCCTTAACTTAAAACTGACTCTCTTGGATGTTCATAAAAAATAAAAAATAAACGTAGGATTGTTTTAGCTGTAGTTATTTATCTTGTAAAAAATATCGTTATATAATGTAAATCAAGATATTAAAAACTATATCGAGAAATTTTGTTTTCTCCATATCGCCCAGCCCTAAGTGGCAGTCCATAACACGTTTCTACATTGTGAAATCCACCACTTTTCAAAGTTTTAAAAATGTCTCTCAAATTTGATTTTTTTTATTATGATCCAGACATGGAGGATCCAGACACTTGGGGAAAAACCGTCAGGGAAAAGCAGCTTGGAAACACTTTGTTTGAGAAAAACACTTTCACAGGGGCCAACACGTACTCGAGGACAAAGCTCTGTAGAGTGAGACCGGAGTCATCTATAGGGAGAAAGATTCGTCTGGAGGACCTCCAGGAGTGTTCGGACACAGACACGACAATGATGAGACCAAAGCCGGCTAATGGTGGTCCATCGTCGAGTGTGCCCCGGGACCTTATGCTTCCTGTCGTGCTGAAGTAGACAGTATATATCAGGAGAAGATGGTGGTGGAGCAGATCTTGAGCCTTCTCTGAGGAGGTCCTGGATTCACCACCATCATATTCACACGTGGAGACGGACCTGCAGGACTCAGAGGAAGATCGAGCAGTAGTGTGGAGACTACTCACCTTCAGGTCCAGGTAATGTCTCCACGCTCTGCTGTCGTTGTGTCCTTGGGGGCAAGACGCTCTGCTGTCACTTAACCTAACCTCTGGGAACACCAGTCACAGTGGGGCGGCTGCGGCTGTAAAGTGCCAAACTGCCGTTGTGTCCTTAGGCAAGACACTTCACCCCCATTGCCTAGAATGAGTCTGGTGTGTGTGTGAGTGGTTGGTGGTGGTCGGAGGGGCCGTTGGCCGATGCATTATTATTATTGTGGTCTTTGATGTAAAGGGGCAGAGCTCAGAGCATCTCTTCATTACAGACTTCACAGATCAGAGCAGACACAACATGTTTTGTCTTTTTAACCTAATAATTGTCTCTAAAACCAGGTCACAGAGCTGCTGGAGACCATTGGACGAACTGTGGAGGAGACGTGGAACGTTCTACACCAACGAGATGTTGGAGACATCGAGGCCAATATGAAGTCTGGGCAGACGTTCGAAGAAGCCAACAATCCACCTACATACGCTGGCTCAAGAGACTGGGCATAGCTGCAGTGGTAATAAGTGCAGCCTCAATTGCAGTCGGATTTGCAGTTGGAAGTGCAGTTGCAGTTGGAAGTGCATTTGCAGTTGGAAGTGCATTTGCAGTTGGAAGTGCATTTGCAGTTGGAAGTGCAGTTGCAGTTGGAAGTGCATTTGCAGTTGGAAGTGCAGTTGCAGTTGGAAGTGTATTTGCAGTTGGAAGTGCAGTTGCAGTTGGAAGTGCATTTGCAGTTGGAAGTGCAGTTGCAGTTGGAAGTGCATTTGCAGTTGGAAGTGCATTTGCAGTTGGAAGTGCATTTGCAGTTGGAAGTGCAGTTGCAGTTGGAAGTGCAGTTGCAGTTGGAAGTGCAGTTGGAAGTGGAGTCGTAACTGAAGTCGTATCACAATGGAAGCCTTACTTAAATCCTTTTTTTCCAAAAAACTATTATCATCAGTTAAAAAGAGGTTGAAAGTTGTAACCAAAAAGAAACTACAAGATTAAATAGAACGTCTGTTCTATAGAATCACAAATGTCTGAATGAAAATTGTTTTCTCCTTAAAAATGTCTTTGTTGAGATCAATGTAACTCTTTTCTTTGGAAAAAGGTTCTTGTTAAAAATCAATAAAACTTTAAAAAACAAAACAATAGTTTCATTACACGACACTAATGTGACAGAAGTGAGATATTTGAAGTGTCTTTGTGTTTCCACTGGCCCGTTTAACCAGCGCCACAAACCACATTTATTATTAACAACACAGGACCCAGAGGAGAGAGGAGGCCCCAGACCTCCACAGGACCCAGAGGAGAGAGGAGGCCCCAGACCTCCACAGGACCCAGAGGAGAGAGGAGGCCCCAAACCTCTACAGGACCCAGAGATAAAAGGCCCCAGACCTCGACAGGACCCAGAGGAGAGAGGAGGCCCCAGACCTCCACAGGACCCAGAGGAGAGAGGAGGCCCCAGACCTCCACAGGACCCAGAGGACAGAGGAGGGCCCTGACCTCCACAGGACCCAGAGGAGAGAGGGAGGCCCAAACCTCCACAGGGCCCAGAGGAGAGAGGAGGCCCCAGACCTCCACAGGACCCAGAGGAGGAGAGGAGGCCCAGACCTCCACAGGACCCAGAGGAGAGAGGAGGCCCCAGACCTCCACAGGACCCAGAGGACAGAGGAGGGCCCTGACCTCCACAGGACCCAGAGGAGAGAGGAGGCCCCAAACCTCCACAGGGCCCAGAGGAGAGAGGAGGCCCCAGACCTCCACAGGACCCAGAGGAGAGAGGAGGCCCCAGACCTCCACAGGACCCAGAGGAGAGAGGAGGCCCCAGACCTCCACAGGACCCAGAGGACAGAGGAGGGCCCTGACCTCCACAGGACCCAGAGGAGAGTGGAGGCCCCAAACCTCCACAGGGCCCAGAGAGAGGAGGCCCCAGACCTCCACAGCACCCAGAGGAGAGAGGAGGCCCCAGACCTCCACAGGACCCAGAGGAGAGAGGAGGCCCCAAACCTCCACAGGACCCAGAGAGAGGAGGCCCCAGACCTCCACAGGACATATGTTAGCATTGGCTAATTCTTATTCCGGTGGTATTGCAGCATGTCAGCGCACGTCATTTTGGACACTTTTGAGCTGGGACCCGCCCCCACTCAGTAAACCACACATAAACCCGTGACTAGTGCAAGTTCACAGCCCTTGTGCAGGGCATTCAGTGATCATTGTACAGTCTGACAGCCTGGGATTGAATTACACAACTGTATATAATGTACATATGACTACACTGTAAAATAACAACACAACTCAGACTATAGTTGGTTCATTCAGCTCCCAGACCTATTGGACATGTTTTTATTGGTAGGGGAAACTGGAGCACCCGGAGGAAACCTACACAGACACGGGGAGAACATGCAAACTCCACTACTACTGCAAACTACTTCAGCTACTACTGTGCTACTAATGCTACTACTACTACTACTACCACTACTACTACTACTACCACTACTGCTACTACTGCTACTACTACTACTACTACCACTACTGCTACTACTACTACTACTGCTGCTACTAAGTAAGTAAGTAATATTTATTTATATACTGCCTTTCACAGACCAGAGTCATAAAGTGGTTTACAGTTGTTATTTCAATTTGGAGAGACGAGAAAACAAGAAGCTTTTGAGTATTTTATTGGGAGGAGGTTTGGCGCCCTAGGCCCCGGTGCGGCCTTCAGTCGGAGAGGCTCCTGCGATGGAGCGCGCCAATCCCCCGGGACCTAGGCACTGGTGGCAGCATTTGGCAGCGGGAAGCAGATTGAAGGCAGATTGAAGACAGGGTGAAGAGGAGGAGGAGGGGAGGCGGTGGTTGCAAGGCTTCGGGAGGCCGTGAAGTGGGAGTTTCTCCGCTTTTAAGCGGCTGCCTGGCCGGCACGGATGAGTGGAAGGGGGCGTTTGCTGTGCGATAGGCTGGGGATGAGAACCGGCCTGGAGGGGTTACCTTTGGCTGACGTCTACCAAATTGAATTTCCACGGGCTGCATTTCAATTTGGAGAGACGAGAAAACAAGAAGCTTTTGAGTATTTTATTGGGAGGAGGTTTGGCGCCCTAGGCCCGGTGCGGCCTTCAGATCGGAGGGGCTCTGCGATGGAGCGCGCCAATCCCCAAAAAGGCTGTGTGTTGATGGAGTTTTGCAGCCTGGTTTGGAGGGGACAGACGTCGAGACTACTCTATGCTGTGACCGCTATCGCTATATACTGTGACCGCTATCGCTAAATACTGTGACCGCTATCGCTAAATACTGTGACCGCTATCGCTATATACTGTGACCGCTATCGCTATATACTGTGACCGCTATCGCTATATACTGTGACCGCTATCTACTGTGACCGCTATCTACTGTGACCATTACTTGCGGATACTCAGCTGCTGCCGCCACCAGGAAGTTTAGCGAGTGTTTTATGGAGATACAATACAATACAATACAATACAATACAATTTATTCTTGTATAGCCCTAGGTCACAACAGAAGTCATCTCAGAGGACTTAACAAAACCATTGAAATCACCAACACAGGTCAGAGAATCAACAGTTAAAACACATGAAGAATATAAAGCACACACAGAAGAAAATGTCCATACATGTTGTAGAATGCTAAAGTGTCCTGATCATCACCAATCCTTTCTGTTGGACACTAACTGTCCAACAAGACCCTCCTGCATCGACAAGGAAAAACTCTTAAAAAACCCAGTGGGAAAAAGTGAGAAACCTTGGAGGAGAACTAGGGAAACCCACAGGGAGGGAGACCCATATGAGAAAGGGATCCGCTCCTCCGGACGGACAGGCTAATGATCTAGGACCTAAGCTAGCTACAGAACGTGGACCAGTGGACGCTGAACGTGGACAGGTCCGATGCCGAAGGCGCTGGGCTGCCAGAATGGTCGAAGTGTCAGGCCTGATGTATGAGGAGGGCCGATGATGACCAGCGGCCCAGCTGCTGGAGGGCGGAATGGGGGAGCCCCAGGGACGCGGTGCGCGTGGCGGCGCCTATCCGGAAGGAGTGGGCTGTGTAGAGATGGGGAGACAGGTTACAAAGCAGCAGTACGGACTTGAGTTGGGCTCTGAACCAGTTGGATGACGTTGGGAGGTTATCGGGAGTAAGAAATAACGGTCCGTTGAGATCTCCTTTCCGAGAGCGGAGGCGAGTGTACTGCATCATGGATCTGTAGGGACAGGGAGAAGAGTCAGACCGAGCTATGACTATATTGCAAGCGCCTTTGCGTTTGGAATGCTTGAGGTGGAGGTTGAAGTAGTCGGGATAATATGACGGGTCGGAGAAGGCAATGTCTCGGGATGCATTAAGGTGGCGTGAGAGTTTGTGAATTCGCTTATGCGTAAGAAGCCCATTTTCATGTAGGATGCAGCGGAGGAGAGAAGGTGAAGAGACGGAGGGACTAGACCAGGGCGAGGGATTCCGTGCAGGGGATCTGGCATGGCGATGGATTGGCAGAAGGGCAGAGGCGTCAGAACTCCTGGAATTTAAAGCGAGAGAGAGAGTCAGCAAGACAGTTAGGTGACGAGGGACGTGACGAGCAGTGATGATAAATTGTTCAGGACTGAGAGCCATGTGATGCGCCTAAGTAGGATGTGATTTGGGGAGAGGATGAACGACCTCTGTTAATTATTTCAATGACGTCGAGGTTGTCGCACGTCACGGAAATCCTTTTCCTATGCCACGTATGGTTCCGCAGCACGCAGGCTACGGTCACGGGATATATCTCGTGGAGCGCGGAGGAGATGCTTCGAGGGAAAGCGTCGGGCCGGGGCCCGGCGAACCACTGGTCCTGGAAAAACCCCCAAAACCCACGGACGGGGCTGCGTCCGTGAAGAACCGCGGGGCATCTGAGACAGGATGACGTCACTGTAAAAAAAAGAGATACACCATCCCAGCGGCTCTGCAGACGGGACCGGAACGCCAGGTCGGAGCGGCGCCCGCGTCCGGGCAGACAGCGTCATTGAGGGAGGAGACGGAGCCGGCGAGGGAGAGGAGTCTGGAATTAAAAGAACGACCTTGGGGAATGATACGGACGGCATAATGAAGATGCCCGAGGAGGGAGCGCAAGGACGCCTCGAAGTGACGGGAAGGCCAAGGCGGACCGGGAGGAAGCGCGGATGCGTTCGAGCTTGTCCAGCGGGAGGGAGGCCTCCATGGCGCGTGTGTCGAGGCGGATGCCGGGAAACTCCAGAGCGTTGGCGGGGCCTGTGGTCTTTCCGGAGTGGAGGAATCCGAGGGCAGAGAAGGCGAGCCTGAGCTTGCGGAGAGAGCCCCCGGAGCAGTCTGAGGGTGGGTTGACTACGAGGGAATCATCGGGGAGATGCAGGACAGAGGGGAGCCGCGCGTAATTAAGCAGAAACCGACACGGCGCCTCCGAGAGATTGTTGAACGAGAGGGACTACTCCGGCAGTCAAAGGTGAGGCGCACTGCGAAGAAGAACTCCGACGCCACTTGACCCCTGAACAGCGCCAGTGGTCGGGGTGGATGGCAGCAG